GGAAAGAGCATTTTCAGCCGTAGCACTTGTTGGGAAACAGAAACCACTGGATACAAACTCACATCTGCAAGGACAGAAGCACTTTCTGACTGAAATCCAGGCCCAAGCCCAACAATAATGGGACAATTAAAGAGTTTTTATCTCTGAATCCTTTGTTATGCCCAAACAGACCTGTCAGCTGACACTAACTCTTTAAATACAACAAATGATGACATGATAAATGAATTTCTGTGAGCTGCTGCCTCTAAAGAATGGAAAACTAAAGGCAAAATGCAATTTTTGCTCAACACTAAACGTTGTATTAAGCAAAACTGAGCACAAAGGAAGAATTAAGAAGTTGGGAAGAAAAAGGAACTGGAGAAAGCAACATGCAGAGGTCTAATTGCAAGTTTAACATTACAATATCACATTACTTGATTACAGTAATTTCCATTTTTAATGCCTTGCATTCATCCAGAGGTGTTGGCAGGAACACATCATGTTAGAGCTGCATATGAGAATCCTGCCACAGTCTTGAGGCGGGGAACAAAGTGCAAAGCTCCAAGCACAAGGGAAAGCCTGGCCATGGAATCCTTGCTTACGAAAGCAGCTGGATGAGTTGACCAGCTCTTGTGCATTTGAGTTCAGGACTAATTCACAGACATTGCTGCAGCAGCAGCCTGGAAGAGGTCATGCTCAGCCTGTGCCTGTAAGTGACAAATGGAGATGTTGCCCAGGGCAGCTGTGGCTGCCCCATCCCTGGAGTGTTCCAGGCCAGGTTGGATGGGGCTTGGAGCAACCTGGGCTAGTGTAAGGTGTTTCTGCCCATGGCATGGGGTGAAACTACATGATCTGTAAGGTCCTTCCAATCCACACCGTATCATGATCAACAGAGTTCTATGAGCCCACAAAGGCCTCAAAAAAAGCAGATGCATACATGAAGTTCTATATTTTTATGGAGAAAAGGCTGAGTGGACAAAGAAAGAGAACTGAGCCCTCCATGGGGAAGCCCTGTCACCCCAGGGATGAGCTGGGGACAGCGATCTGGGCTCCGTGAACTGTCCCCTTGTCTCTGGTCTGAGACACTCATCAGTGACTAAAATCAGTGTATCAAACCCCCAAACCCATCAGCTCACTCACGGAATCCAAGTGGGGCAGGTTGGAAGGCACCACAGTGGGTCATCTGGTCCCACCTCCCTGCTCAAGCAGGGCCAGCCCAGAGCACATGGCACAGGTTGTGCTAACCCCAGGGAGGCTGTGGCTGCCCCAACCCTGGCAGTCTTCATTCCAGGGTGGATAAAGCCTTGAGCAACCTGCTCTGGTGGGAGGTGTCCCTGTCCAGGGGGCACTGGATGATCTCTAAGGTCCATTCCAACCCCTTAACATTCTATGATTGTGTCCAGATGGTTCTGGAATATCTCCAGTGAGGGAGACTCCAGAGCTTCTCTGGGTAACCCAGTGCAGTGCACAGGAAAGAAGTTCTTCCTCATGTTCAGGTGGAATTTCCTATGCACCAGTTTTAGCCTGTTTCTTCTGGTCCTATTGCTGGACACCACAGAGCAGAGCCTGGTCCATCCCCTGACACCTCCCTGCAGATCCTGGCAGACATGGATAAGGTCCCTCTCAAGGCTGAACAAGCCCAACTCTTCACAGAGCTGGGCAGCTCCATGAGCCACTGGTGCTGGGAATGCTGAAGAACAGGGGATTACAAGCTCTCAGCACCTCAGCAGAGATGTTCAGTCCCTCCTGGGCTCTTCTGGAGGCTAATTCCCCCGGAGTGTGCCGTGGGAGAGCAGCAGGGTCAGCACACCACCATTGGCAGAGCTCAGGCTGTGCTAGAGGAGATGTGGCCCCTGCCTGCTCCCTCCCCACTGCCACGGCAGGGCTGAGCCTTTCTGTGCTCAGACCTCTCACAATTTATAAATCAAACCCAAAAGTCACTTCTCTTGTTGTGGCTCCTTTCCCTGCCTCAGACTTTGCTAAGAGGCAATGGCTGACCTGAGGCTTTTGCCTCTAATATCACCTAATTTCCACATCGTGTGGTGACAGTCCTGTGGGGCCACCACAGCTCTCCTTGTCCTGGCCCTTATTAACCATCACCAGATGTAGATGACTCTCTTTAATCATCCAATTACATTTCTGGGCTCAGACAACATTTTTTCCCCCCGTGAAGCAGAGCAAACTTCTTAAGGAAATTAAATGCCCATGCCACAGCCACTTGGATTTATCTGTGCTCTGCAGCACCACACTGAAGAAGGGAAAAGGCAAAAAAAAAAAAAGGTTAATATTTCTATAAAACTTTGAAGTATTTTCAGAGCAAAAAATAGAAAAATTACCATTTTTTCCTCCTGTCAACAGTGCTCTTTCATTCTGGCTGCCTTTGCCTCTTATTTATTTTTATTTTTTATAAAAAAGAAAAGAAAAATCCAGAGAGGGCAACAGCCCAGAGAAAATAAATAATATATAAAGCCAAGTGAGATCAGATATTGGTGGTATCAGTGAGGAACAGGCGGTATTAGGCACGTAAGAAGGGATTTTTTCCTCCTCCCTCCTTCCTCCCCCTCCTTCTTTTTAATAAACTCTCAGTATCCACATAATGTCTTTAAGAAAATGAAATCCTTTTGCTGTGGGCCACGTTGCTGGAAGAAATAGTCCCCAGTGCTGTTATCAGTGCTTTCAAGCTTTAACTCTGAATCAAAGGCGACAATTAATAAAGTCACCCCCGCCAGGAGCGGGGAAGGAGGGAAGCTAAATATTTGAAACTGGGTGAACAAATGTCAGGGTGTTTTTAAATAAAATCCTTTTACAGTTATCAGAGCCAGCAGACCTGATATCCCTGTCTAATTCAATTTCAATTTGTGCCCCGTGGGAGATAGGGAAGAAAAGGCTGCAATGCTGTCTTTGGGTTGATATGTTCTTTTCTCCTTCAGGAAGCAGGCACGAGAGGGGAAGGGGAGGAGGGTGAGGGAAGGCAGGAGGAGGATTCAAATACCAACAGAATATGGGGTTTTTTCATTCCAGCTGGATCCTTCCAGAAGGCAGATGTGATGTGGGGAATGTGAAATGCTGATTTGTTGTGAATTCACCTGGAAAACGGAGCCGAGGAGGAAAGTGCAGCAAGGCTGTTTGTGTGTGAATAAATATTCCTGATGGGAGACCAGGATTCACTGAGTGTTGATGCCAAGAGCATCACACACTCCTGAGGCATCTTCCTCCTCCAAAAAACTGCCAGGCAGCCAACTGCACCAACTACCCTAACTGCCATCGATGGTTTCTCAGGGGCTGCCACCTCACTCCTTTGGTTTAAATCAAAAGGTGCTGCTTTATTTAAGCACCTAAATGTGCTCCTTTAATGAAAACAAAAAATCACAGCCCTATATATCAATCAGATATTTAATAAACTGCCAGATAGAGTCATGGAATGGTTTGGGTTGGAAGGATCTTAAAGATCATCTTGTTCCATCCCCTGGGCAGGGACACCTTCCACTAGCCCAGGTTGCTCCAAGCCCCATCCAACCTGGCCTGGAACACTTCCAGGGATGGAGCAGCCACAACTTCTCTGGGAAACCTGTGCCAGAGCCTCAGCACCCTCACAGGGAAGAATTCCTTACCAATATCCAATCTAGGAACCCTCTAATCCATGTGAAGCCATTCCCCCTTGTCCCGTCACTCTAGGCCCTTGTCAATAGTCTTTCTCCATCTTCCCTGTAGCTCCTTCAGGCCCTGGAAGGCCACAATTAGGTCACCCCAAAACCTTATCTTCTCCAGGCTGAACAACCTCAATTCTCTCAGCCTTCCTTCATAGCAGAGCTGCTCCACCCCTCTAATCAATTTGGTGCCTCCTCTAGACTTGCACTAATGTCCTTCCTGTGCTGGGGAAGCAGTTTTCCCACATTTTACAGCTACTTGGAGTGCATAGGGCTTAGTGTGACTTGCTTAAGCTCACAGTCAAGAGCACGTTGAAGCTACAGACTCTGTAAGATACAGAAAAGAAGCCAAAAAAGTACTAGCAAACATGTCTCCTTGCTATGTCAGTGACAGATACACTTGTGGAGCACTAACTGCCACTATAGCCTGAGCTGCACCACGCAAAAGCAAAGCCAAACCTCTCACCTGTGGTCAGAGCTGCTGAGGGACCAGCGCTGGAGCCTCGATGGCAAGAACACAAGCAGAAAAGACATTTAAGTAGCTATCACAGATTTCCTGAGCAGTAGCATCACACTGAGTGTAACTCAGAGCAAAGCAGCACATCCTGGGGACAGGGATCACAAGTGGCTTTGGACACCCATGGAGTGTCCAAGAGCACAGCTGGGAGGCACCTGGCAGACAGCACCATCTGAGGCAAAAGGAGATGCAACACATGAAAAGCAGCTAAAAAAGTGTCAGCACAATGTGTTTAGTGGAGTTAATTTATACCTGTGCTGCAGAAATCCTCCTCTTATGCACCAGGTAATAAAGTTTTCAGTTGTCACTGCAAAACTTGTGTCTCTCACCTGCAGAGAGCAAACTCTCTGGGGTATGAAGAGTCAGAAGAGACCAGTAACTGGTATCAATTTAGCTCTAAAGGTCTCAAATATAGGCAAAGTCACTCTGGCATAGACTGGAAGGTAATAACATAGTGTTGTTTATGGATGGTGTTTTGAGCCCAGGATAGGAAGGATTTAAGGCTAAGGAGGTTCTTAAGGATGGAGGAGGTGATTCTGGGGTGCACACCTGCCCCAATGAGCCTTAGGCACAGCCTCCAGCTCGCTGAGCACACAGAGCTCAGGTCAGCCCACCCTGGAAACACCTGAACTCTGCTCAGCAATTCCAGCAGCAGCTCCCACCACGGCCTCAGGCAGGAAGCTGAGGCCATCACTCCAGGCCACCAAGGCATCCTGCACCACACAGAGCTTCCCTGCTGTGCTCCATACCAAGAACTACCTGGGAGAGGGGTCCCAGCCAGGCAAGGAGGAGGCACAAGCACTTTCTCTACTCCTGTTCTTAATTATCCTCAGAGTTACTACAATGGAAAGAATTTTTCAATGTGGGTATTTTCTTGTCCCCATTTATAATACATGTTTACTTTTAGCACATTATTTAGCTTGGACCCAGCAAACAAAACACTCAGCTGCAGTTTCATGTTCTCCTTTGCTAGCCCAAGGATTGTTGTACTTGGCTTGCAAAGGCTTTATGGAAATATTTAAATTTAAACAAAAAAAAAAAGAACTGTTTTCATTTCAAATTAAAAAAATAATAAACCATCCTTAGTAGGTTTGGTGAACTCTTTCCAAATGATGAAACCAAACGCCTCTCCTCACCCTCAGCTGCAGATCTGAGCTGCCTCATGGCTCCCTCCTCAATGGAAACAATAAATTAGCATTATCCTGCCTCAATTAAACCATCCAAATGGAATGCAACTTAGGAAAAAAAATGTTTTATTTATGACTAGTTTGCAGGCTTAAGCACGGTGCCCAGTTAATGAAGTATCACTTTCTAGAGGGATGAGAGATGCTCACAAAGGGGAGGGAGCTGTGCTGTTACTGTGAACCAGGCCTGCAGCAGAATTGATTGCATCCTCCTATAATGAGAGCTGGGACAAGAGGGGCTGGGAGAGCCACTGGAGGCTTATTTTGAAGTGATCATATCTGCATTTTGTGTACAGGCAGGAAAGAGCAATAATCTGGTGTCTAAACCTCCCTGAGTGGAACTCAGAGCTGTGAGGGTCAAATCACTTGGTGCCTCAGGGCACAGGCCTGCAGCAGAATTGATTGCATCCTCCTATAATGAGAGCTGGGACAAGAGGGGCTGGGAGAGCCACTGGAGGCTTATTTTGAAGTGATCATATCTGCATTTTGTGTACAGGCAGGAAAGAGCAATAATCTGGTGTCTAAACCTCCCTGAGTGGAACTCAGAGCTGTGAGGGTCAAATCACTTGGTGCCTCAGGGCAGGTGTGTGGGTA